ACATTATATGACCCCTTTAAAGGAATAGTTCACCCAAAAAAAATTAAATTTGCTGAAAATTTACTCACTAATTTACTCCGGCCATCCAAGATGTAGATGAGTTTGTTTCTTCATCAGATTTGGAGAAATGTAGCATTACATTCTTTGTTTAGCAATGGATGCTCTGCAGTGAATGGGTGCCGTCAGAATGAGAGTCCAAACAGCTGATAAAAACATCACAATAATCCACACCCCTCCAGTCCATCAGTTAATCTCTTGAAAAGCTGCATGTTTGTAAGAAACAAATCCATCATTAAGATGTTTTTAACTTCAAACAGTTGCTTTCAGTTGAAATATAAGAGTCCTCTATCCATAATATTGCTTCCCCCAGTGAAAAAGTGGTCTGGTCTGAATCAGGAGAGAAATATACACTGATCAAACACAGTTTACAAGCCAAAACAGCTCTAAACAAATATGTGGGTGGATTTTGATGTGAGAGGCCAGAAGTGATGGTTTAAAACAGCTTTTCACTTTTAAAACAGCTATTCACTTACTTCAAAGATATTAATTGATCAACTGGAGTAGTGTTGTGGATTATTGTGATGATTTTACCAGCTGTTTGGATTCTCATTCTGACGGCACCCATTCACTTCATTGGTAAGCAAGGAACGTAATGCTATTTTTTTCAAATATGTTCAGATGAAGAAGCAAACTCATCTACAGTACATCTAAGATGGGTTGAGGGTGAGTATATACAGCAGATTAAAATTTTTGAGTAAACTATTCCTTTAATGCAGCTTTTCAGACCGACACAAACATTCACATGCCGTCAATGCAATAGGTATCAAGTTGGTCTAGTTAACATACAGCAATTGGTTTAGTGTGGGAATTGTTTTCTTTACAGTCGCCATAGAGTGTTGTGATTTTTCCATTAATTTTCCTTCTGTAGTGCTTTTTTGTCTCTAGTTAAGCTTGCTTACTGAAGACACCAGCACACCGTTATCCAAAAACATATTGGGGTCAGCTGTTATAATAGATATTAGAATTAAATTTTAATTTCTATCTTTAAAAAAAATATATCCAAAACTCTTAAAATTGTGGCATCAACATTTCACTAAGCATTTACCAGCCAACTAGATTTTTCTAAGACTTGGCCACAATTGCAGTCTTCATCTCTTATTTATTGAGTGCGAACACTCATTAAACACTCTTTCTAATGAGCTATGAATGATGGGAGTGATGTCATCACTCATGAGAGCAGTCAACGGTGTATTACTGCACAGCTCAGGGTAATAAAACACAACCGAGCACA